CTTATTAACTATCTAATCTATATATTTAGTACATATTGTATTCTACTTAATGGAAAATATATCTCAATGTCTAGAACTGGCTTTTTGACTGTTCCGCCTCTGAAAATCAGATGCATTTTGTGAACAATAGATTGTAGCAGTTAACTAAGTAAAAAGCCTTTAAATGTAGACATCATGAAGATGGAAAAAGCAAGATCAAGTATTTTTCAAAATGAAATGAAAGTAGGCAAACTATATTTGGGCTGCTAAAATCTGAATGACCATGATAACAAGAAAAGTATTAAGTTTTGAAGTTCAGATATGTATGTTCTTAATCAGATTGAATAACTGGACTGACAAACTCTTGCTGCCACATGGAGTGAAATGTCCATAAAATATTTTGGTATTGATCTTTTGTAGCCTGAGAAACCCAATTACTAAGTATTTTCAGCAAACCTAGGCTACCTCTGTTCCATGACACACCTAAGTTCAGATATGTTATGCCTTACTGAACAAATTATACGCTGTTATCTGAGATGGTGACATTTTTAGTTCTTGCTGGCTCATAACCTTATTTTCAGCATCAAGCTCTCAGAAAGCAAGTAGATTCCAGGGAATCACTCAGTAATGGGTTATAAAGGAAGCTAGGCCTACTCACTCCTTAGGATCTTTAAAAGCAATATTTCATAGTGAGACATATTATTATAAACATTGCAGCACAGATATAATAAGAACACTATTATTAATTCAGTGAGTAGCCACATTGTTAAATTTTGACAAGCTGTAAAAAGAACACTTCATGGGGCATAATAGAAATCATGTCTTGTGATTACCTACATAGGCACATATGCCTTTTAATGAAGATTGCTGTAGCTGAATATGCTACAGCAGACATGTCAAACTCTATTTCATTGAGGGCCACATCAGGGTTGTGTTTGACCTTGGAGAGCTGGAGGTGGGCATGGCCAGCTTGATGTCACTTGTGTAGGGTGGGCACCTGTGGTGGCCAAGTGCTAAAGGCAGGACTTCCCTGAGACCTTCACTCACCATAATCTTCCTTCCTTCTTTCCTTTTTCTTTTTCCTTCCCTCTTCATTCTCCTTTCTTCTTCCTTCCCCTCTTTCCTTATTTTTCCTTCCTTACTCTCTTCCCATCTTCCCTTCTTTTTCTTTTTCTTTTCCTTTCTCCCTTCCTGTCCCTTCTTGCATGCTCAAATGCAAAAGGGGAAACATTTCTCCTTTCATTTTGTTTGTTTTGATAGCCCCCCCCCCAGCTCCCCATTTTCACTGTTTCCAGGACGGCCTCGTGAGGTCAGATCTAAGCACCCCATGGGTTGGATGCGGTCCGCGGGCTTTTTTTTTTTTTTTTTATTTGATTTATATGCCGCCCTTCTCCGGAGACTCAGGGCGGCTTACAATGTGCTCAGCAATAGCCTTCATCCTTTTGTATATTTATACAAAGTCAGCTTATTGCCCCCACAACTGGGTCCTCAATTTACCTACCTTAGAAAGGATGGAAGGCTGAGTCAACCTTGAGCCTTGGCGAGATTCGAACCTGCAGTAATTGCAGGCAGCTGGTCTTAATAACCAGCTTAATAACAGGGTGCCTTAGACCACTGTACTACCAAGGCTCTTAAATTTAACACCCGTATGCTACAGTATCTTGTAGAAGTATATGATTCTGTTCCACCCTGGCAGCCTGTAATATCTCAACACGTAGGGAAGATGAAGAGGCAATCTTAATGTTTTTCCTTCCAGTCAATATTATTTCTACATCCCCAACTAATAAAGCATAACATTCTGACTCATTTAGCTTCTGGACGTCTATCAAACATTCTAGAAACTGAAATGGAACTTCTACGGCTCCTGATACAAGATGCTGCTTCTTGGTGTCTCATCCATAAAAGGGTTATATTGAATTTGGTTGCTACTGTTATTTCTGTGAAAGACTTTTGAGCAACAGGAAAAATGGGAGAACTTTTAAGGGACACCATATCATAAGACATTTGAAGACAATAAATAGCTACCCATTACTACCATTGATACTGGTTTGTAGACATCGCTGAAGTTCAGTTGATATCTCCAGTCACCTTTATCACACATTGATAGAGTGATATAAAATTCACTAAATTTAAGAACCATGTAACTCATCTTCCTGTTTTTCTTCTGTTTAAAATTATGGACCAAAGAGATGAGCAAATCACATAAGAATTCAAAACTAATTCAAAATGTTTAGCCCTGCATAAGGGTTGAAATAGATACCAGCAATTAAACAAGTTGCTTGGATGGAACCATTGAGTAAAATGCTGCTAACTGGATTGGACTGAGGAGTTTCTGTGGCCACAAAATGATAGTCTGACAATAATGCTAATTAAATCCCTGCCCTGAAACTGACAAGGTGGTAATCAAACTGTATGCAACAAGTATGACATAATATATTTATTTTATTTTATTGTATTTTTATTATTCGTATTTCTATGCCGCCCAACTCTCCGAGGACTCTGGGCGGCTTACACCAAAGACAGTATGAACAATATACAATAAGAGACGTTAAAAACCCATACACACCACTCATGGCCGGATCTCACAAGATCGCAGTGGTGAGATCAACGGCCCCAAGCCTGCCGGAAAAGCCAGGTTTTCACCATTTTCCGGAAGGCCAGTAAGGTGGGAGCGGTCCTGGCCTCAGGAGGTGGGTGATTCCAGAGAGTCGGGGCAGCCACAGAGAAGGGCCTCCCCCGCAGACCTGCCAGGCGACATTGTTTAGCTGACAGGATCCGGAGGAGGCCAACTCTGTGGGATCTTACCGGTCATTGGGAGCTATGCGGTAGAAGACGGTCTTGAAGATAGCCCGACCCTAAGCCATATAGGGCTTTAAAGGTAATAACCAACACCTTGAATTGTGACTGGAGACCAACAGAAAGCCAGTGCAGCTCACGGAGGATTGGTGTAATATGGGAGTACCTAGGTGCACCCACGACTGCTCGAGTGGCTGCATTCTGGACCAACTGTAGTCTCCGAACACTTTTCAGGAGTAGCCCCATGTAGAGCGTGTTGAATTAATCCAACCATGAGGTGACAAGGGCATGAGTGACACTGAGAAGAGCCTCCCGATCCAGATAGGGTTGCAATTGGTGTACAAGGCGAATCTGTACAAAGGTCCCCTTAGCCACAGCTGCCAGATGTTGCTCTAATCTCAGCTGTGGATCAAGGAGGACACCCAAATTGCAAACCCGTTCTGAGGGGGGCAACTTCCCCCCCCCAGGATTAAGGATGGACAATCGACATGGTCCTTGGGAGGCAATACCCACAGCCACTCGGTCTTGTCTGGGTTAAGTCTGAGCCTGTTTAGTCCCATCCAGACTCTCACAGCCTCCAGGCACTGGCACATCACATCCATTGCTTCACTGAAATGATGCGGGGTGGAGATATACAGCTGGGTATCATCGGCATACTGCTGATATCCCACCCCGTATCGTTTGATGATCTCCCCCAGCGGTTTCATGTAGATGTTAAATAGAAGGGGGGAGAGGACTGAGCCCTGAGGCACCCCACAAACAAGGGGCCTAGGGGTTGATTTCTGGTGACTGACCAGAGAGATAAGAGGAGAACCACCGTAACAAGGTGCCTCCCACTCCCAACTCCCTTAGTTGGCCTAGTAGGACACCATGGTCGGTGGTGTTGAAAGTTGCTGAGAGGTCAAGTAGCACCACGATAGAGGAATGACCCCATCACTGGCTTGCCAGAGATAGCCCATCAGCGCGACCGAAGCAGTTTCCGTGCTGTGGCCGGGTATGAAGCCAGATTGAAAAGAATCCAGATAATTTAAGCTATAAATAATATTTCAGGACAAAATTAAATATCTTGTCCATTCTGTAAAGTTCCATGAAGTCACATATAAAACATAATAGCTTCTCTAAGAAGTGGTTTTGCCTAGAAATGTAATGAAACTCCTTGAGAAGATGTTCCCAAGATGGTTTACCATTTACTTTAACCCTGAGAATAATAAAGGAAATGGACTACTCTATGCTGGTTGTTAGCTAGTGCTGACGTTGCTGCCTTTATATGTGAGCCCAGGACAGTTGTTCCCATTTTCCATAGAGCTTTTGAAAACTCTGTGGAAGAGCTTTTGTGTAATTCAATCAGATATCAGTATTTCCTGGACTACCACTTACTTACTAAGCCATCGTATACAAAGTTAGTATTATTAAATGATCCTTGAAGTAGATCACTTTCAAGAACAAAACTCCGTCAAGGCAATTTATGAGAAATATATGGATGATAAAAGTTAATTTTATCATCATTTTATAATTAACAATCCACGTATTATTATAACTAAAGTTATAATAGATAGGCACAAATCCTTCAAGTCAAGCTGAATACTATACTATAACCAACATTATAAAATGTTATTTTCCATAATTCTAAATTTCCACCTTTGGCACCTTTGTTTTTGTTTTAGGAAACCATTATATTCTGAAGGAAGCGTGTCCGGTTTAAAAGATTCCATCTAGCTGAAAGCTGGGAGGTTCCCATGTTTAAAAGTTGGCCTTTAACATTTCTGGCGAGAACATTGTTGTCTAGCCCTTTCACTTGGTTCCTGAATTTCCAGAACGAACATGTTCTTGGCAAAGAAACCATTTCTTTTGAGTAAAAGGTTAAGAATGAGTGGAAATTTGATGAAAAGTTAAATGTGTTCCTTGCGTATGGTACCATTGCTGGATTTTCTGGGAATCAGTGTTTTGTCTGGTGGTAAGGATAGAGGGGAAGATTTCTAATTCATGTTATCTGTTCATTAAAACCCAGACAGGAACAAAAAAAAATGAAAGTTTATATTTCCTTCACTTTGTTTTTGATTACTCTTTGAACCAGTCATCTAAAGGTTCTATAAAATTGTTTTTATAGAACCTTTATAGGCTTAATTGTTACCTAATTAAATGGAAGCCCATGTACAGACTTGAGTGTGCAGTGTGTTCTTACTTGTGTTGTAATTTTTAAAACATTCTTTTCTTTTTTGTTCCAGATAATCATAGGAGAGGCCCTTTCGGTATATCACAACTGTTTGCACTCTAATTCATTTGTGAGAAATAACTACGTTGCTGCTATTTACAAGGCTCTGGGGACATTCCTTTTTGGTGCAGCTGTTAGCCAATCTTTGACAGACATTGCCAAATATTCAATAGGTAGATTGAGACCTCATTTTCTGGACATATGTAAACCAGATTGGCGTCATATCAACTGCAGTAATGGTTACATTGAAAACTTCAAATGCCTTGGAGACAAAGTAAAGGTTAACGAAGGAAGGTAAGTCTGTTAACGTGTGTGCCTGGTCATGAAAATATTTCGTATTTTCTTTTTGACAAAAGTGGAAATTTAACAATTTCGTAAATAGGGTTCACGATGTCTCATCATTTGTCTTCCACTAGCACACAAGGGTATTGTACGTTTTGTTCTTATTAACAACAAGAGCAAAACCATTCCAGTACTGTAGTAACTAGTACTATAACTAGTACTGTACAAAATAATTAGCATATGCGAATTATTGCTGCCAGTACAATAAGATTCTAGTTATAAAGCAACTAAAGCCATGAAAAAAGAAAAGTGGAAAACATTTGCATTGGTGTTTTGATAGTTATTATCACTTTGGTCTTTGTCGCTCCCTTTTGATACATAGGCTTTATGCAGAGCTAGATAGATGTGTAACCTAAGGATTAATGTGTTAATTACAGCACATTTCACATTCTTGAAGTTGTTTTTCTGTACAGAACCATTCCTTTTATTTCCTGCTATTCAAGCTGTGAAGGTTGTTGGTATGTAGCTGGAGTGGCACCGCCCAGACATAGGAGGAAAGGGATTTGATTTTTTATGGGAATGCCAGGGCTTATAAAAATACAATGAAAAATGCAAGAAACCCATCCAAAAGATCTTTCCAGTTCTTGCAGTTAGGATGGCAACATGCCATGGCTTAGAAAGAACTGGCCAGAATTCCATTAAAATCTCAGATTTGTGCTTTTTTTGAATATCACAACCCATTTCCAAAATCGTAAGGAAGGAAAGATGGAAGGAAGGAAGGAAGGAAGGAAGGAAGGAAGGAAGGAAGAACCCAAATTACTTGTGGCATGCCCAAACCCTATTTGAATCAAAATTCCTTAAATGTTTAGATCATTGCCAAAAATACCAGAGGAACAAAATGCTTTTAAAGAATTTATTTTTATTATTGCTGAAAGAATATCACTGTTTTAAGAAAAAGTCAGTAGGGAAGGAAGATTGCAGATGAAAGCACTTAAGTATTAAAACATTGCTTTTCCTCTCTAAGCAGAATTATAATTGATGGTGTGAAAACTTAGCTGTATTCCATCCACAGTATACTGAACCTTGTCACCTTTTTCCTGTCTGTTTTGATCACTTTTTTTTTCTTTTTGAAACAAGCTCCATTATGACTCAATTTTAGTCTCTTTGGAGCCTACATTCTGCTCTCCCATTCTTGTTCTCCTCATATTCAGAAAAACCAGCAGCTTGTTCTTTCTCCCTTGTTTATTTTTACTTTCCAGAAAATGGAAACTGTTCACACTGAGTTAAAACAAGATTTCTGTATGAACTAGGAAACATTAAATCTTACTTCCTAGTTATTCTGATTAAGAATTTTGCTTCTCTCTTCAGTACATTAAAAAGAAAATGATAGGTCATGTTCTTTATTCCAAAAAAGAAGTAACATTCAGGAATCATTTTATTAAAAATGTGCTGTGGATCATTGGAGCTTCTTTTGGAAATGAAAAAAATATTTTCATTTTCACTTTAGGTAAGTGATTTTGGGAGGCGACAAAACAGAAAAAAATGACAACATCTTTTGAGAGCTTCTCTTGCACGGTATGCATTGACTAAGAGTCAAAAACAACATCCATCTTCCCCAGAGGGAACTCCTCCCATGATGAATGTTTAGATCTGGGATATCCGCCCAGTTTTGGAGGCAAATTTCTAACCCCTCTGAATTTTAAAAATAATAATGCTAAGGACATTTAAAAATTTGGGGGCTGAGGATATTTGGATCTTTTTCAGCATACAATTGACTATGAGTCTTCCAACTCTGGTTGTTTAACTGGAAAAATGCCCAACAGCCAGAAGCTTTATCCAGAAGCAGCTCTTAATACAGGTCATGAGTTCATATAAGAAAGAGAACCAGTTTGATGTAGCGGTTTAGTGCTGAATTCGAAACTGACTGAATAAGCAACAAAACAGAGAAGATCCTTTGCCACTACAAAAAGGGCAATCCTTTTCTCCATCATAGTTTTTTTTTTTTAAAGAAAAAAAAGAAATCCCTGAAGTTTTCTTGGAAAGATTTCAGAATAGGTTTGCCATTGCTTCCTTCCTAAGGCTGAAAGAGAACAACTGGCCCAGAATCACCCAACTGCTCCTTCCCTAAGGCAGGACTAGAATCCAGGGTCTCTCATTTTCTAGCCTGATTTAACCTCTGGCACTCCAGACTGAACCTACAAGGTTAAAAATAGATCCTTACCGTTGAAGAAGGTTGGAGAATCAAAAGAGAACAGCCATTTTGAGAAAATAAGTTTAGATGTAAATTAAGATCCTTTTATTGATATTGTGGATTGATCTGAATTGAATTGTTTTTTATACTCATATATTTTGCTCTGTCTGTCTTATGTATGTATTTGCATATGTATTTTCTCCTGGAAAATTAGCTGCAAATGAAAGCCTTAATCTATATAATGTATGGCTTACATTTCTTTGGAACTGAATCGCATTCCAGTATTATTTAACTGTCATGCATCTTGGCCATTCTGCTAGTCATGGGAAGATTTTTACTTTCTTTTTCTCCTGAGTGAAGATGCAGAGAAGAATATCATGCATAGATCTGTAATAATGAAAGGAAAACAATATTCCAATAGAAGAGAGTATCTGTAGCCCAGGGTTGAACTGCCGAGTCTTGGTGCTTTGTGAGTTTGGTAGTTTGCTTGCAGACATTTCATCATCCAGATTAGGAAGCATGATGGTGCTCCCTGGAAAATAATATATTTTTAACCTCATATACTAATGCAAATCAAATGAATATTTGTGTAATAAAACAGAACCAATTGTGAGGATTTGAAAGCAAATGATGCTTGAGAATACATGCTCCATGTATTTATTGATTTAGTGGCGGACATCTAATTCTTTAATAAAAATTTCCAATGTGGTTATAAAAATCAGGTAGTAACTGATGGAAGGTATCATTTTCCTGTAATTCTACTGAACACGTGCTAATTTCCATAGACAATTATGGACTAGGTTTTATTCAATATAAAGCAGCTGCATATGGCCATATGATTGACCTTAAATGAGCACTTTGAAATAGTTGATTGCAAATTCTGTAAATGATTTTTAAAATGTAAATGTTTTACAATTCTTTATAAAATGCATCCTAGGGTGCTTCACAAAGTGATTAAAGCAACTACTTCAATATTGTAGTGATGTGACCTTCTTATATTGTGTGACTAATACGAAAAGTGGCTCCTGGCAATACAGGATCTGGGACTAAGCTGCAATGCAGAAATCTAGCTGATTATACTATCTTTAAAACAGGTTCAAAAACTGGAAAGATGAGAATCATTCAGAGGAGAGTTGTCCATTGGCTGTGTGTACAGCAGACATTGTTTTGATATTCTAATTAAGCAACTAATTATTGCAGTATGAGATAACTTGAGGACTTAAGGAAGAAAACAAGAAATTAACAAAGGGTCTTGATTCATAAAATAATCTTGCTGTTAATAAAATCTGTTGGTGTTATTCATATATCCAGTCTAGATAACTTCCACACAGATGCTTTAGATCAGTGTTTTTCAGATTTGACAATTTTAAAATTTGTGGATTCAACTCCGAGAATTAACCAGTCAGCATGCTTTAGATATTCTCCCCTTAATAAATAAAATGTAATATAGACACCATTCTATATCCATTGTATAATATAAAATGTGCTATAAGGCAGTAGTTTTACAATATAAAATGGGTATAACATGATGCCTTTCAAGATTGTGCTAGTTCCTAAAACTTATGTGTATAGAGTGGGTTGCTTTTGCAAAAAAATTGGAAAAAAAACTCTTATTTACTTGGGGCTGAGCCTTCCCCTCTATGCTAACTACTAGATGCTGTGATATTCATAAAATCACAATTCTGTGTCTAATTCTTGAATACAGAAGAAAGAAATATACTGGCTTATTTCTTTGAAATTCAGTAGTTGTTCATTGTAGTGTGAACATGTGGCATGCTTGACAAGAATAAAACTGGCGAAATACTTTGGTTTGTTGGTTTTAGTCATTATCCCTTCTGATGCCCTACTATGACTAAGAATTCATCAATTCTGTCTTGCTGAAAAAATCCTTTAAAGCATGAAGCATTTTGCAAATGAGACCTCAGCTTTTTGAAACAGGTGCGGGAATATCTAAGGCTGGTGCCGGCAATCTGCCCTTTTGAACTTCTGATGTCCAGGCAAACAAAATAGGATTCTCATTAAAACATTGATAATTGCATTCATCATTGCCTTGATTATTTGGTTTCATAAGATATCTGGAGATATATGCATACTTTTATAAACAAATATATGTTTGTCTGTATACACACAAACATACACATAAGATTACTGTATGCTTTATCTTGTTGCTGTAAATAAAATACATGATCAGATATTCTTTTAGCTCTTAAACCTACGTTGCACCTAAAGATACTCTGGAATATTTTTCTACTATCATCTAAAGATTACTGTATTGTCTAAACTGTAATGAAGTTTTCATGAGGAAAAAGGAGTCTCCCTCAACCGTATGGTTGGACAGTTTGGAAATGTTAAGGACTGTAAACCAAGGCATCTAGAGGTTGCTAGAAGTAAGGAATTCTCAGCCTGGTAATTTCAGGGAACACATCAGAAACTGGAATACTTTCCCACTGGGCTCAGAACCCGAAGAGCCATAAAATTAAGTTTGATATTCTGTGTTTCGGTTATTATCTGATTTTGAACCTTCTGGGCTACTTGGAGTCTCTGTTCTCTTGTTTGTCTTTGTCCTATGAGCTAGTAAACTGGCTTGCATTCAGAAGGATTTCTGCCATACAGCTGAATTGAATCTAGGGACTGCTGCATCTTAGATGTTTCATTACAAGTATTGTCTTCTGGACGAATAAGTGTGTGAAAATGCCTAGCAAAATTAACTTCATTGAAAATAAAATGAACAGGACGTAAAATGGGAGCCCCTGGTTTGTCTGGTGAAAGGGTGTTCGGGCTGCTGCCTCTTTTATTAGCACATCTGATAAGTGATCATGCT